CCCCCACACAATCAATGCTTCAAAACATGGATGGATTTTGTCCATTATAATCTGGATTTGAACACATTTGAAACATCACCTTCAGTCAATCATCACAGTGCTACACTCAGTATTCACCAGTTTTCTCAGGCATCTGCCTGAGCATGACTCTCAGACCGTGTCACAGTGCAGCTAGGATCTAGAAGGTCAGTGGGACACTAGGTTGTCACGTTTGAGGTTCTTTCTATGACCTTGTCACAGTCTGTTGTAGCTTTTGCATGAGACCAGCTCAGCCTGTTTGTCTTCAAGTTGTATACATGTGAGCCACACCAGTGTAGGCCTCACATTATGAACAGACAGCCACCCCAATAATAAACCAGCACCTCACCACTACCTGCATGCTCAAAATCACTGTGGATGTGAGACATTTCAGGCTCACCTAATATACACATGCAGATCTTACCAAGACCACAAGACCATTTTTACATCAGAGTGGAGTTATTGTCCTGGAAGAAGAGGATTTAAATTCTTTTTCAACAATCTTAAACCCCTCACCGATCCAAAAGGGCTTCCTTCCACTGAAGTCCCACAGCCAGTCCATGTCGCTTTTAGAGGAAACACTGGCAAGAGTTCCCTTGAACCTGATATCAGACAGAGAACAGGCTCGTTAGAGACAGAACTCAATTTGTTGCACAATTCTGACATGACACTGACAACTAACACAAGCTGAAACAACCAGGCATAAAAATGTCTTTCTACAGTGGTTTGTGTGTGTGTGTGTGTGTGGGGTGGGGGGGGGTAGGTTTAGGACCAAGGTGTGAATTGAGTTTAGGCTAGATTTATGGTCAGTTATGTAGACAAGTATTTACTCAGAGGATCCCACTGCCACCCGATGACTCTGCAGAGTTGGTAAAGCCCTATAGGAAGTGCACGCTCGTTTGAGATCAGGTCCAGTCCTGGTCCACTGGGTCCTATCTTTATGGGAAATGCATGGTGGAGTCGGCTGTTTCAGATGGAGACAGCCTTTTGATTTGTGTTTTGCTGTAAGATGTAGTAGAATACGGCTGGTATATTCCAGTGAGTGTAGGTTAACTGTTTGAGTAGAACTCAGCCAGTACATTGAGTGTTTGTCATGCACTGTTTCATGGAGAGGGGGAAGAGTTCAGAGGAGGGAGGGTTAGGCAGAAGAGGGTGAGCGTTAAGGTAGGGGATAGGGTTAGGTTTAGGGTTAGGCTATGAAAATGATTGGAAAATGAATGGAAGGCAATGCAAGTTCTCCACACGGATAGAAAACCAACTTTTGTTGGTTCTCTTACAGACAAAGACTGTGAAAGTGTACCTCTCCCTGCAGGCCCTGTTAGCAGCACTCCATGTGACCTTGTGGTCAGTACTGAGGATGTAACAGTGTCCTCCATGAAAGGTCCAGCTCTGAGGACACGTCTGAGCGCTCACCATCTGTGGAGATGTGCAGACATGTTTTTGAACTTTAAATTTAACCCTGATTATCTTCCTAACCTCCTTCAATATGCTCCAACAAGCTATCATACAATATAAACCAACGTCAGTTCACTGTCTCAGGAAATATTTGCTACTACTGTTTCATCTGAACAACAATCAGTCACTTAATAATATTCAGTTTTCCCTTCATGTGTTATACCTGATCTGTTGGAGCCCATGGTTTCCAGGACACACCGTTGCAGTGAAAAAGCTGATTGATTGTTTTATTGAAATGTAAAAGTCCCATCAGTTCTGGCACACAGGGTTTAGGATCTGAGTTTTCAGCTGCTGCCTTCAGGCCACAAAGCAAGAAAAATAATTATTCATGGTGTTTTAACTAGAAGGCAACAACATCAGGCTGTTTTTGTCTGCACAACCCATGTTTATGACTTAACCCAGTGATTCCCAACCAGGGATATGTGTACCCCTTGGTGTATGCGAGTATATTACAGGGGGTATATGGAAAAATTCCCCAGATGTATAAAAAATAAATAAAAATAAAACTGGGTTATGTAAAGTCCTATGATTTGACACAAAATAGAATCCAGTATAAAACGCAGAATCTCATGGAATTTGCTCATTTGGATGAGTTTCTGATGTATTTTGGATGCTGCTGCTTCCTGCACCTGCAGTTACCTGGTTTATTTATTTAATTACTTAGTCACTTTCAAGGCAACATTTTTATATTTATCTTTTGTCTTTCTTTGAAATTAATAAAATGCAAGAGAACTAAATGTTCTAGGGTGTTAAATAAATATTTTTCAGTTAATAATCAGCTGTTGTACATTATAGTTTTGGAGAATCATCATTACATTTGACTGAAGGGGTACTAGTGGTATGACAAAATGGCTCAAGGGGTACACAAGTCTGAAAAGGTTAGGAACCACTGACTCAACCTACTGAAGAATACTTTGAAATTAAAATAGGAGCTTGAGACCAGATATTAAATTATTCTTTTTGGGTCAGTTAGCACAGCTGATAAGCAGTAATACAGGTACAAAGTGGAGGTACGATTCCACAAAAGGATGATTAGACCAACACATTAATTATATTAATTATTAATAATTACAATGTTAAGATAAACAATTAGAAAAATACACTGAACATTTGAAGGAAATACTCACCCAGCTGACTCAGGTTATTCTAGTAACTAATATTTATACTCACCAGTTTCTGAGGGAGATGTTTTTCTTTCAGAACTTTTAATGAGGAATCAGACTGTTTCCCTGTAGAAACAACAGGATGGAGCTGGAGCTGTGCCCCCCTGCTCATCACCCTGATGTTGGCCTTTCTGTTTTCTCTGGGTGCGGAGTTGTCCTCTTCTACTCGTAGTTGTGTGATTCCGTGATACTGAAATTAAACAAACAATGAAATAAACAGTTTTGTTTTTGACCATCAGAGCTATAAAGCTGAAATTAGTTGTTGCAGCTGCTTACTGTGTAAACTTTGTCTGTTCCATTGTGAAACACTGATGAGGGGGCAATCTGAAACATAAAACAATAATTATATATAAAGCTAGTGAAGCTAAATAACAAATAAATAACGTTTTAAGTGTGGTTCTTAAATACTTACAGTTTTGGGATTGCTGACAACTCTTAGTCTTTTTTTTGGGAGACTTTCTCCAGACCTGGAGATGCTGTCTCCTCGTGTCCAAACAACAGTTTCTGAGCCCAGAGGAAGTTTTTCCAGTTGAATGGATCCATGCTGAGGATATGTGTCTGCTCGAATCTCTTCTCCTCCAAGAAGAGGAGCCTGAGAATCCTGCTTTGGCCTGCACTGCCCTGAGTGTTTCAGGTTGCAACAACTTAGGGTTTATTATGCAAAAATACAAAAAAATATTGTCATGTGTACCTGAGTCTCTGATGATGACCTCAGCCTTGCTGATACTTTTAATGACGGTGGCTTCAGGAGAAACTAGCTGCACCTCACAGGTTTCATCTGCCTCCTCAATCTGGTCCTGAATGATCTCCAGCTGCCACCTCTGCTTTGACACTCCTACACAGACAGAAAAACGCTGTAGTGTTGGACATTGTTTTATAGTTTTAATTCTAACAGAAAGAGTTCAAGAGTCTTGGTAGTTGAAAAACACATGTATGTATCAATACACAAACTAGAAACTGCATAGTGGTAGCATATATGCCCCCCACGCATATGCAAAGAACCAATGCACCTGAACTCAAAGGTCACCAGAGCAGATTTATTGTTTTGGGTGGGGGTGGGTGGGGGGCACTCATTGGTGGGCCTGATGGATAGAGCTTCATCAGGGCTAAACAACAAAAAAAAAATCTGGAGCTCCTATGTTGAAAAGGTTTTGAGTTATAAGCATTTTTGTACGTCCAGACACACCCTTTTCAGATGGGGCCCCCTCCTCAAATATGGGGTCTATTGTAAAACCATTGGCTGGTGTTGTGTAGGTCAGACACATCTCTAGTCCTGCCAAATTTCACGCTGACTGGTGCAGCCTTTTCTGTGCTATTGTTGACCAAATATCTCAGAAAAAAATGCCAAAACAAATAAAGAAACAGTATGAAAACAATGGGTTCAGTTTTTTTAATGACTTAGTGCTAACAGATGAACAAAATCACAAACACAGGATTACTTTGGATGGAGCAGGGGATCAAMAGGTTAGGGCCTTGTCCACAGTAACAATGGGGTTCATTTGGTTTGTTGTGCTGAAGATTGAACTGAGCTCAAGCTCTTGATTTACTGGTCCATGTTCCCACCCTCACCTAGGGATGGGTACCGATTTCGATACTTTTTTAAGTACCGACCGAATTCTGTTGGTACTACCGAGAACCTATTCATGAAACATCAAACGGTACCATGTTTCGGTACCTAAACGCATCATTGCGACTGTATTGGCGTAAGAGTGGTGAGTGTTCCATGCTTGTCCTGAACGCAGCATCATGAYGTCAGCAGCCGCTGCTTCAGAAAACAGAGCTCAGTCTGAACATTGCTTGAAATCGAGCCTCGAAGCTCGCTGCTCCTGGAGTAAAACTCACCGAACAGACCGCCTCTGAATTATCTGGTGGATTAATTATCTTGTGAGCACAACGTTCGTTCAAAGTAAATAAAGTACCACCACTTTCTTTATTTCATCCGCCATTAAACAGAGATCGACAGAGGGGCCGACAGAGGAAAACAACAGAGACACTTCACACGTCTGACCTGAAAGAGCACAAGCAGCCAGCTTGAAGTGTTGGAGCGTTTTGGATGTTCAAAACGTAGCTTGAATACCTT